ATATATATATATATATATATATATGTATATGTATATGTATATATATGTATACACGGTTGTGACACGATGTTACTTCACAACGTCGTATCAGGTATGCACTTCAGCAGTCACGTCGGAATACATTTTTCTTGGATTTATATACCTTTGCGCGTTATACACACGGTCAAGTCCAGAGAAAATCCCCCGTCGCAATCTTCCCCAAATATATTTTCATACGACGCCGGATATTCAGAAAGACTCCAATCTCTGTACGAGACTTCGTTGCATGCATACGTAAATAAAATCACGGTTTTCTTTTCGCATCCGTTTAAATTCACTCCGAAAATGCTAAAAAAGGCGAATGAGACGAATGGAAAACAGAATCGGGCGGGCGACGACGAGAGGGCGGCGACCCAATTTCTTTAACAATTTCTTTCTCAAAGATCATGATGACGCGTTCGCGGAAACGTGGTATCTGTAGATAGGCAAGGATGACTATCGTGACAAAGCGGGATTATGCGGATATCGGGAACAATGACGGACGGCTAAGATTGTGCTCGACAGGTTTTTTTTTTCGAAAAAGTCACGGTTTCTCTTTGTGAAAGAAGCACCGACGACGAGACACCGGCGCGCTGAATCGTAGAAACAACGAACCGTAGCGCGCCGGAGAGAGACGTCTTTGACGGTAGCGCGCAAAAAACATTCGAGCGAAATTATACGCGCTTCTTCTTCTTCTTATCTGTAGCTTTCCTTCGGTTTCTTTTCTCAATGAGATTTAAACATCTTTGAGCTCGCCACGAGAAACTGAGAGAGAGAGAGAGAGAAAGAGAGAGAGAAGACCGTCGGACGGATGATTTTCAAACCCCGAAGGCGATCTTGCGCGGCGTTCGGAGGTCGCGACAATGCTCGCGCAGAAACTCGTTTTGCCAGTTAAATCGAGCGTGAATTGCGATGCCGCGTACAGAAAACGAAGCACCGGGCCTAGCGGAAAGAGAGAGAGAGAGAGAGAGAGAGATGGTAGCGAACGTTGGGGGATTTGAAACGATCGAGGGACCAGATAGCGACGCAACAAAAGGAGAATCGCGCAGCGAATCGCTCGAGAATATTCCCGAGTGATATTTTTTCGTGCGAACAACCGTACGCGTTCGTACCGGCGAGCTATCAACGAGAAAATGCCATCGCGCTGTCTGTCCTACAGCGCGCGAGCGCGGAAACAACTGTATATATCGTCGGTATTTCAATGCGAGATACACGAATGGAATCGTGCCGTTCGAAGGACAAACAAGGTCCCGACGCGAAGAGGTCAGCCGAAAACGGATGGAATTAATTTCCCGCGCTCGAAACTATACGCGTCGTATCCGATCGACGTCGTTGTAACGAATTTTGTCAGTTTACGGAACAAACACGCCTGGTTGCTTCATCTCTCGATCAAAAGGACCGGAAAAAAAGGCCAGCTGATGCTTGCGCGCTCACGCGAAATATTCGACAGGCACGAATATATGGCGAACTGTTATTCCGAAACGTATTTGTGCGACGCCCGAATACGTCTGTGTGTACACCTTTTCCATCTCCTCGGCAAAATAAAAACAAAGGAACAAATCCGATTAATGTCTACGGTTTCCATACCTCGGCTTTGCGCGAACGTAATCGTTCGCTCTGGATTCGTGCCGTTGGCTTTTATCTATCCGAACGCGCGGCGAAAGAACATGTTCATCTGTTTGCCGTAATGGTGCTCGAAAGCTTACAATGCCCCGCTTCAACTGCACTAAATTAATGTGATAGCGAACTGGTTACCGTTACAAGGAGTAAAAAGCGTTTTAAGCTTTCTTTTATAACAACTTTCTAAATGTTATCGTTTATTCTTTAGAAGAGAAAATAGTTTTTAACTGTGATGCTCCGCTTCTTCTCTAAGAACAGGCTTTATCGGACGTTATATCTTCTCTTATCAATAGCACGTCTCATCCACGATAACCGCCCGAGAGTGTCTTAAAATACACATTTCGCAACGTTGAGATATCTCACGGAAAACAACAAATATAGAAAAAATATGTTCCATTAAAACGGTAATATAAATAATTTTGATGTGTGTAAAGCTCCAAAATAATTTAAAAAATATTTAACAGAACAATGGCTTGGTAATATAAATAGTAATATAAATATTTAGTAATATAAATTTATTTTAGTAATATAAATGTTTTATAATTCAATCCCGGATCTTTTCTATTGCAATATAATAAAAAAAACCAAAGAGAGAGTCCAGGTTGAAGGTGGACGTTTTTAAATACAATGTAAAAAAACGCAGTGTATTCCGAACGTTTCGATCACTTTTTATTGTTGATCATCTTCAGCACTGTTTACATAATAATAGTGAGAATTATGAAATTTTGTAAAAATATAAAAATCTTTGTTCTATTGCGTTTCTATTTTACTACATTTTGTTTCTTTAAAATTACTTTTTCCTCTCTGAATGTGTTGATATCTCACACTAATGTAGAAGTAAATCACAGATAACAATTAAAATTATCGATAATATTTTTTTATCTTGACAATATTTTTGGAATCACGGACACACGTATCGTATTTTCTGAAGATGACTCAAAAAGAGAGACGTCCACTCTATTGTCAACTCTCTCAGACTATATATATATATATATATATCAGACTATATATATATATATATATCAGACTATATATATATATATATATATATATATATATATATCGGTCGCGCGCGATTGCTATTTACACGTTT